CCCCCCCACCTTTTCTTTTCCCGGCCACTCGCCTGGAACCCCAGCGAGCTGCGGGAAAACCAGCTCATCTGGACCATTAACGTGCGCGTATAGAAAGGAATATGAAATTCATAATCAGTAATTTTTAATAGAGACACATGAAATCTGAACATAACTTAAAGTAAAGTTAAGATCGGGTGTGAACTGAGCACTTGATATTGTGGGAGAGAACCGGGCGCCATACCAGCTAAATAATATCATGAGGTGCAGAGCTCTAGGAAGGGATTTTTAGCAGACGATAAATTTGGAATATTTTACTCAACTAAAACTTTTAAGAAATGACATGACAAATAGGTACGTCAAATTGCTAGCACTGTCATGCAGCGTAGGTAGAGCACTCGAGTTCGAGTAAGGCACAAGGCGTGAGTCATCCAAAAGTAGGCCCGCGGGTGGGATGTCGTCCATCTGGATCATCTGCTTTCGAGCAAGATCAACATTTGAGTGATCGTTTTTTTTTCTGTTTTTTTTTTCTTTCTTTTAGTTTAGCCGGTTTCGCCAGATTTGTGTATGGTGAGCAAATCCAATTTTTTACCTATATTCACCTTCCTAATGATTTAGAGGATTTCATTTTTAATATAGTTTAGATAAAATTATCAAGAAAAAAAATCAAAATAGTCGGCAAGTTTTTTTTCTTTGAAATCCCCTCTCTTTTTGATGTCGTGTACACAATGCATGGTGCCCAACCTCCATACTTCACATTCATCGTTAGAATTACCGTTTATAATGAGCCTAGAAATTCCTGATAAATCATTGTAAATTGAATCCTCAAATAGGGTGGAAATTTGATTCTAGAAATCTTAAATTTAGGTGGAATAAAAATTCTAATAACACGTCGTTTTCTCCAAAATAATGATGCCAAGGTTGCCATCCGAGCGCAACAGCTGACATTTGAGTTGACACCCCCTATGGCGGCTGGCAGTCTCTGCTCTTGTCATTAACACAAAAAACACAACTTATTTTCAGAGAAATAATGAAAATTCTCTATGTCATTTTTGTGAGGTAGCAACAAAAGTAGTGATAGCGTAAGTAAATCGCCGTCGATTTTTACTACTCCTCCTCCTTTCTGTGTTTCCCTTGAATGTTTCGATGTTATTTTGGTTAGGTACAGCGTTTACATCTGTTTTCTTTGTTGATACCTGTTATTACACATCACTGTGAGATTGAAACTTAGATAAAGTGTCGTGGAATAGTGAAACGCTGCAATTTGGATCGTCGATGACTTAAGTATGAGGATTGTTATTGCATGATGAATGAAAGGTTAGGTTCTGCTAAAGCCGATGTCCTGTCTCGATGCCGATTGACGCAACTGTGTTTCTAAAGGCAACTGTCTAATCTAATCTTTGTATTCCAGCTATATATTTCCTGTTTTCATTTTTATTTATTTGCTTTGCAGGTCAAAGCACAATGAATCCTATCCAGAACAACCAAGATGTTGCTTGCTTCTTGGTGTGTAAACATTCATGGAAGGGCAAGTAAGTAAATAATAGGCCTCTAAAAGTGGGGCTTAGGTAAGATGAGGCGCTACGCGTTACGAGACTGAGGCTAATGACTCTTGTTGCACTTGGCCAGCACCGCTTGGCAAGCCAATCACTCTCCTAATAATCTTTGAAACGATCTGCCTCAGCAGAGGGGAGACATCTCACCTCACGAGATTAAATCCTCCAGAAATGCTCCCACAATTATTGCCGTGACTAAGACTCTCTCCTCTCCTTGTAAAAATTTTCCAACTGTGTATTATGACTATCTAATTTCAATCTATACTGTAGCCTACAATGTCTAGTCATATGTTAAATTTTTTGCTAATACTTTGTGCAATTTCTCATTTGTAATCACAATTTTTTTCTTCTCAAGGTACAAACGAATCTTTTCAGTTGGAACAAAGGGCATCACAACATACAATCCTAATACTTTCGAAGTCACCAACCGTTGGACCTATAGTGATGTGTTTAGTATTAAATGTGGGAATCAGTCTCCTCCTGGAGGCAATGAATTTATACTCACTATGCGTAAAGAAAAGAAGAGTGATACAATGAAGTTTTCCTCTGAGTATCGCTCATTGATCCTTACTGAAGCTTTTCGTTATCGCAAAGAGTTTGCTGAGAAGCCAAAGGAATCATTTGTATGTTACAATTTTACAACTTTTTTGTCACTTGTTTTAAAATTTAAAAATCTTAACCCACATAAATTTATTTCAGTGTTACTCTGGATTTAAATACCATTGGTCAGAAACACGTCTGCCTGTAGTTCTTGAGGTCACACCTGCCTCTCTCGACCAATTGGATCCAACATCTCACAAAGTTGTTGCATCATATTGTTACAAAGATATTGAAGCTATTGCAGATGTGGAACAGTGCCCTGGTGGTTTTGTGATAGTTTGTGGTGGATTTTCGCGAATGGTAATTATTGTAGCAGCAGAGTATATCATTTAAGGGTTTGACCTATTAATCTAAAAAAATCTTTTTATTTTAGCATTTTTTCATATTGCCAAATGCTACTGATATGAAGCAAAAACTGGTCGAAGCAGCGGTCTCTAATCTGGGTATTCATCTTAAAATTCTCAAACAACAATTTAGACAAGAGGAATTTGTAACTCATCGATTTGGAAAATACAGGTAAGGAGTCCTAAAGTTTTTCTTCGAGTGTTGCTCTTTTGGAAAATCTTGAGTGTTGTGATAATTTTATTTTATGAATTTTTCATTGCAGTGATGATGAATTTGTTACTTCGATCTGTGAATTTAAAGTGTACAAGGTCCAAACACCTCGGCACACTGATCCACAACATCGCACTCTATGTCTTAGTGATTTGTGTATACTGGAAAGAGATCCACAGACTTATAGTATTTGCACTTTACGGCCACTTTCACATGTATTTGCTCTTGTTCGAGATCGTGAAAACCTTCAACTATTTTCTATTGAATATATTGATGGGCAAGTTCGTACATACACAACAACTGACAGGTATATTCCCAATTTACTCAATTCAAGTGAAGCATTCATAGACCCACAATCTCATGTTTAGTTTCCTTTGTGTATCCTTGAACTTCTTTTTAACATTCCAGGGACTCTCTGCTTGCTTCTCTTCTTGATGGTGTTAGAGCTTCTGGAAATCGAGATGTTCATGTCAAAATGACCCCTACTCAACGAGGAAAGAGATTGGGCCCTTTAGTGGTGAATTTGGAGGAAGAAGTCGAATCTTCTCATTTGAAACTTCTAGATAAAGTTTCACCAAAAATGTCTCTTGCTGAAGCAATTGAAAGATTCAATGCAAACACACCCTACAGTGGTCTTCTTCACTCTGTTACTCAGGATGGCTTGTTTTCAGAAAACAAGGACAAGCTGATTCAAAGTGCTCTAACTGCTCTTTTGCAGAAAGATTCAGATGCTAGTAACACTCCTTTACCCGAGCTAGAAGCCCAATTTCAAGCACTACGTAGATTGTTTGCCTCTAAAGTGGGATTTTCTGCATTTTTAAGCCTCCCTTCTTTTCGTGAGCAAGTTGGTCTGAAAGTAGTGAGAGCTTTGAAAAGGGAAGACACAGGTGTCACTCATGCTGCTATGGATATGGTGTGTGCATTGATGCATCCTATGCATGAAGATTATGATTTGCGACAAGAGCAAATGAACAAATCATCTCTTTTGTCCAACACTAAATTTTTGGAAGGACTTCTAAGCATGTGGCAGAAACATGTTGTAAGTTTTACTCCATTTGGTCATCAGTGCTTCGATGGAATATAATTTAAGTAACATTGTTATTTTCTTGTCTAGAACCAGGGAACAGGTGCATTGGTAGTTTCTGCCATGCTTGACTTTTTAACTTTTGCATTGTGTGTCCCATATAGTGAGACTACTGATGGTAAACACTTTGATCAACTTTTAGAAATGGTTGCAGAAAGAGGGAGAACTCTCTTCCGTCTTTTCCAGGTCTGATCTCTTACAAAAAATATTGAGCTTTTGTCTGTGAGCTTTTTTTCCTTTAATTGGAGTGCATTTTACACTAATTATCCTACTCTTCTACAGCATCCATCACTTGCTGTTGTCAAGGGGGCAGGGCTTGTAATGAGAGCTGTTATTGAGGAGGGAGAAGCAGAGGTTGCTGCCCGTATGCAAGACCTAGCCCTTGCAGAAGGTGCCCTACCTCGCCATCTTTTGACAGCATTATTTACAGAAGCCAATGACAGCAGATTACTCACACATCGTCAGCTTTCTCGTCACTTAGTTGGGCTCTGGGTTACTGGGCATCCAACAGCAATGGGTCTGTTAAAGAGAATCATGGTAAACAAGGATGATAGTTTGAAGACTTTAATATTTAGTTTGCTCTACTCAACTTTTTTTTTATTATCTATCTATATCTTTTTACTGACCAGTATTTTATCACTTTTTTAGCCAGCTGGACTGCTAAACTATTTAGACTCAACAGATCAAGTTCCAGAAAGTGCCCTGGAAGCTGAACAGCTTAACACAAGGGATAATTTGAAAATTGCTCAAGATTCAGCTTCACGGAACAAGCGAAACCCTCATCTGGTTGCTGTGGAAAGACAACTTAGACAAGTAGAGAAACATGTTGAGGTAATAGTAATGGTATTTGAGATACCATTTACATTTTGTGTGCCTCAATTAAAACTAAACATTTCTTTGAATTTTTCTTACTTTTTTTGTTCTTTCATTAAGGCCTGTATTCTTCTTACAGAAAGCACTTCTTCATTGGGGTGCTCAGATTGGTTTTGAGAGGAAAGAGGACCCAAGAGAGAAGATACGGGAAAGACCAGTTGTACTTCGTAAGCGCCGGGAACGCATCAAAAGTGAAGCTAATTGGAAACTGTTTTATTTCCAGTTCACGCGGGATCATGCAATTCTCAACCTTATTTGGAACCATCAAGTAAGAATGTTTAAACTAAAGTTCAACTTTAACACAAGGTTGTTTTTTTTTTTTAAACATTTATCTTTCAATCATTTTCTCAAAACTTGCAGACTAGGGAGGAATTGAGGGATGCACTGGAAACAGAGATACGGACCTTCACAAACGACAGAGATCTGTCTGGGGCAACATTAATTGCTTGGAACCATCAAGAGTTTGAAGTGCAGTATCAGTGCTTGCAGGATGAAGTGCGAATAGGTGACTACTATCTGAGGTTGCTTTTAGAAAGAAAGGATGAAGATTCACCCATCCGTAGATCGTAAGTTTTAATTGCACATTATACACTGTATATTATGTGATAACATTAACTTTTATTCTATGTATTTGTCTCAAACTTACAAATTGACTATCTTATTTCTCAGATATGAGTTCTTTAATGACCTTTATCACCGGTTCCTTTTAACTACAAAATCTGAAATGAGATGCTTGTGCTTGCAAGCCATGGCTATCGTCTATGGATCCTATTGTGAAGATATTGGTCCATTCAGTGATACCAAGTACATAGTGGGGATGCTTGAAAGAGTGAGTTATTCTCTGTTAAATTAAAAGAGAACAAAACTTAATTCAATTTAATGTTATTGCAAATTAATTGTCTTTTGATCAACTTTTACAGTGCTTGGAGAGAGCTGAAAGAGATCGTTTTGTCATCTTCATCAGTAAACTAATTAACCATCGCAGAAACGTTAAAGATATGCTAGATGCTAATGGTGTACGCATATTAGTTGACCTCTTGACCCTGGCCCACCTACATACTTCTAGGTACAAAAGTATACCCTGCACCGTAAATACAGTTTTATTTCATTATATAACGTATTTATTTCTTTCAGAGCGGTTGTTCCCACCGCTACAAATGTTATTGAAGCTGGTGACATGAAAAGGGAAAGTGAGAAAGAGTGGTATTATACTCTTGCTGACAAGCGAGAAGGTCCAGTCGGTTTTGAGGAGCTGAAAGAGCTTTGGGATGCTGGTAAACTTTCACCAAAGACAAAGTTGTGGGCTCAAGGCATGGATGGGTGGCGAGCCTTGCAGCATGTGCCTCAGCTTCGTTGGACTCTATTAGCCAAAGGTTCTGCTGTCTTAAACGAAAGTGAACTAGCTGCTTTAACTCTGCAGATACTGATTAAAGTTTGTGAATATTTCCCTAGCAGGTGAGTGTAATTTAATATTCTCTATTGGTTGCTCCTCTACCATAAATGCTAAGTGTTTTTTTGTTTTTGTTTTTCAACAGAGATGCTGACAATGCAATGATTCGACCACTTCCTCGTGCTAAGAGACTTCTTTCTGAGCCCTCTATTTTGCCACATGTTGTTCAATTACTCTTGACTTTTGATCCATTGTTAGTTGAGCGTGTAGCTACATTACTTTGGGAAATTTCACAAGATAATCCCATGCTTCCCCAACTTTACCACACTGGAGTGTTTTTCTTCATGCTTATGTACAATGGCTCAAATGTTTTGCCTGTTGCTCGCTTCCTGCAACTTACGCACATGAAACAGGCTTTCCGTTCAGACGATGTTAGTATCTATTTTTCCTTTCTAGCCTCACCGTTTTAAAAATCACATTGCATTCTTCTGCTATATATAAAAATAACGGTTCCTTGCAGGCAACATCATCTGATATAATGCAGAGAAGCGTTTTGGGCCAGCTTCTTCCTGAGGCAATGGTTAGCTATCTTGAAAACCATGGAGCCGAGAAGTTTGCGCAAATTTTCCTAGGAGAATTTGAGACTCCAGAAGCAATTTGGAATTCTGAAATGAGGTAATCTATTTTCCGACACTTCTCAATCTGTTGTTAGAATTTCTGAAGCTTGCAGCATTAGCATCTTTCGTTTCTCTATTGATCACTTTTAATCATTTTAATTTTTTGTCTTATTTAGGCGCTTGTTGATGGAAAAACTGGCTGTTCATGTTGCTGACTTCAGTCCACGACTTAGGAGTAACACCAGAGCCAACTATCAGTATCTTGCTATTCCGGCTATTAGATATCCTCAGTTAGATCGAGAACTGTTCTGCAATATCTACTATCTAAGGCACTTGTGTGACATTCAACGTTATCCTAACTGGCCCATTAAAGATCCGGTTGGTTCTTCCTTTATAATTTGTCCACTGCATTGTATAATTTCATCCAATCTATTCTAATCTAATCTAATGTTTTTCCTGTTTCATCATTTTTTAGATTGAATTACTTAAAGATGTTCTCTTGGCCTGGAAAGCAGAAGTTGAGAAGAAGCCTCCAGCTATGTCAGTTGATGATGCCTATGAAGTACTTGGCCTAGCAAGGGGAACTTCCCACCCAGAATCTGCAGTTAGAAAGTCATATTACAGATTGGCTCAACAGTATCATCCTGACAAAAATCCAGCTGGCAGGGTACACAGAACCGCTTCTGCTCTTTAATTTTCTGCTTAAGTCTATTTTTGTATTAATCATGTGTTTGTTGCAGGACCGTTTTGAATCTGTCAACAAAGCTTATGAGTTCTTATGCAGCCGTAGTTCATGGACTGGTGATGGTCCCAACCCAGATAATATAGTACTGATTCTTCAGACACAGAGTATTTTGTTTCATCGTTATAGTGATGATCTGCGCCCCTATAAGTATGCTGGCTATCCCCAACTCGTTAAAACCATTCAGTTGGAGACTGATGATGACCAACTATTCTCCAAATCTGCCCCACTGTTAGTCGCTGCCAGTGAATTGGCTTATCACACTGTCCATTGTTCAGCACTGAATGCTGAAGAATTGAGAAGGGAAAGGGGGTTGGATGTGCTTTTGGATGCCTTATCTCGTTGTGTGTCAGTGCTAAGTGAGTCCTCCAAGATTTCTGACACAGCAGTTCAAGTAAGCCTGCACATAACAAGATGTTATGGGGTTGCTGCCCAGTTCCAAGCATGCCGTGATAAAATGGTGGAACTACCTCAGTTAGTTAGAGATTTGACTCGTATCCTGTACTTTAAAAGCTTACCACGCCTCAGTGCAGCAGTTGTGGACTGTGTGAGCTCTCTAGCCATAGACTCAATTCTTCAAATGCAATTGTTGCAAGCAGGTGGTTTATGGCATCTGCTGTCCTTTCTTTTCCGCTATGACTATACCCTTGAAGAAGGTGGAGTAGAGCGTTCAGAGGAAGCAAATCAACAAGAAGTTTGCAATCAGCTTGCAAAATTGGCTGTAAGAGCTTGTGCAAGACTTGGTGGTTACCTGGAAGGGGATCAAGAAACCCCCAAGAACACAATCACAGTAACTACACTAGAAAGACTGTTAACACCCTATCTTGCAAGACGATTGTCAACGGAAAAGCCTGAAGAAGTGAGTACCTAATATATTTCAATTTATTGTAAATTATAGATTGAAAATTTCTACGATTAATGTTATTTGATTATTTTTTTCTGTGCATTTAGAACATACAACTAACCACCTTTCTCTTCACTTTTGTTCACAGGTTTTGAAGCTTTTGAACAGCAACAGCCAGAACCCATACATATTGTGGGATAATGGTACTCGGGCTGAGCTACAAGATTTTCTGGAAACCCAAAAGCAGAGTCGTCGGTTTGCTGCTGACCCTGCTGATCCTGCTGAGCAAGAGAGTGTAACTGCTAGTTTCAGTTATTCAGCTCATGCAACTGAATTACGAGTTGGGGATGTTTTTCTTCGATTGTATAATGAACAGCCAAATTTCCCAATTGATGTATGTTGCATGTTTTTATCATCTATCTACTATCTACCAATTTGTTTCTATCTTAAATTTGTTCAAGTGTTTTATGATATGTATTTCAATTCTTATTTTCCTTTTCAGAATCCCAAAGGGTTTGCTATTGATCTCCTGGAATTTCTATCAAACAAGTGGAAAAGTGTCAGTTCCAGTGCTCCATCAGCAATGGAACCCAATGTTTTGTCTGAAATTATAATGGCTCTAGAGTCATTATCTCATGTTATTATAAATAATCCAGGTTAGAAATTGGTTAGAGGTATTATTCTTATTGCTGTAGATATATCCAATCTAAAAAATTTATGTGTTATGAATTTATTTTGTTTCACAGGAGTTGAGATTCAGTGTATTGGACACTTCCCCTTGCTATTCCAGCTTCTACGAGTTGACGGATGTTTAAAAGTACAGCATGCTGCCCTGGAGGTTTTGTCATGTGTTGTGCGTAATGCAGAATGTGTCAAAGATATTGCAGCATCTAATGTTCTAACACCCTTGTTGCTGATTCTTGTTAATGTTCCTTCTTGCCAAATGCAAGCTTTGGACACATTGTACTCTCTTTTTACCACTACTAAAATTGTCAAGGATGCTCTCGCTAAGGGTGAGATTTTCTAAGAAACTGTCCCTCCTTTGTTTTAAATTTTCTGGGTTTTGGTATTTTATTTTCTGTTTCTTTTCTTTCTTTTGCGTCTAGGTGCTGTTCTTTATCTCCTAGATTTGTTTTGCAACTCCAACTCTGCAACAACTCAAGGCCTACGTGAAAGAGCAGCCGAGCTGTTAGCGCGCATGGGCAGTGACAAATTAGTTGGACCAAAGATCCGACTCATCTTAGCATACTATCTACCTCCAGCATTTGCTGATGCAATGCGAGACTCCCCTCAAGATTGTGTTCATTTGTTTGAGGGTGTGGCTGAGAATCCAGAACTAATTTGGAATGATGAGGCACGGCAGCGTATCAGCCATCTCATTCGCCAGCAAACTGATGAGTAGGTTCTGTCAAGTTGTGTCTGATCTCATCTCCTATTATTTTAAAAATGTTACACCTTCTAAAATTTTGTTGCATTACAAAATGAATTGCTATTTTCTGAACTGGAGTTTCTGTTTTAGATTGTATAGATCTCAGCGTTCAGACCTGCAAGCAGATTGGAGAGTGCCTGATGAACCACCTCTTTCTCATGCTCAACCAAATGAAATGGTTGTGGGTGGTGTGTACCTACGACTGTTTATTGCTAAGCCTGGATGGCCTTTGCGTCGACCAAAAGAATTTTTGTCAGAATTGATGTCTGTTTGCTTAAGTTCAATGGAAAAAGAAAGACCCAATGTGAGTAATTGTTGCTCAAGTTAATAGTTGATTTACTAAGGATATCTGCTGATAATTTCTCTATCTATATTTACCACATAGGTACAAATGCTTGAAATGGCCACCACTGCTTTGGTATGCCTTCTTCAAGCCCAACCAGCTTTATCCGATACAATACCTGCATCAGGACATATTCCTCGCCTCTGTAATCAAATGTCAACTGCTAATAATGAGCCAGCTGTTCATCGCTCTGCTATTCGCATATTACATCAGCTTGCCATCAGCGATGTAAGTAAACGAAAATTTTCAGTTATCTGAAAAGTTATTCGATTTGATGTACTTTTAGAAAGTTGTTAAACTTTATTTGTGGTTAAAAAATATACATTTATTTGATGTAGGTGTGTGTTGGAGCCATGAGCCAAACTCAATGTATTGGTCCACTGAAACTAGCTATGCAAACAAGCCATGAAATGGTCAGTGTGGGCTGTGAGGCATTAAATCGTTTGTTTTCAAGCAACCAGGATCAACTTGTTAAACAGGTCTGGATTTTGTATGTTCATGGTTAATCTTAAAATTTTCTATGGCACTTCTAGCACATGTATTAACACTGACTGACTGTTTTTACAGGCGTTAGATTCAGGACTGTTGCCATACCTTCTAGGTTTACTGGAAGGGAGACTAGAATCACTTGAAAATGGTGCTGCAACTAAAGCTCAAATTGTCAAAGCACTGAAGGCAATGGGTCGAAGTATTTTGTATGGTGAACGAGTTAATTCTTTGCTTCAGCAATCTTCAGTGTGGAGTGAATATAGGGATCAGCGGCATGATCTCTTTATTAGTAGTACATCAAATGCTGGCTATCTCACTGGTAAGGAAATACATTATTGTACTTCTTGGCTTGAACTCTTACATACAAGTGTTATAATAATTTACAATGTTACCTTCTAGCTGGTACTCCTCAAACTGCTGGTTACCTAACATGTGGTACCACAAAAACTTTACCCAGTGCACCTCCTCCAATTGATAAAGAAGATCCAACGGTCTCCTCTCCTCCTCTCATTTGATGGAGCAAGTAACATTTACTCCATGCTATGATTTCTAATTGATGCTGGTTGATTGAAAATATTCATTCCTATTAGCATATCAATAAGTGCCTATGCTCATAAATTATGATAATGTACATATGATGCTTTCTCATGAGTTCTTATTGTTACTTTACTCTAAAAGCAGATTGCTGAGGGTTAAGTTGATTTTTTTTGTTTTTTGTTTTTTGTACTGATTTACTAAGTATTTCACTCTACAGTGATAAGGGGACCTTTGGCAATAATAAGACATTAGTATGGCAGTAATTTGCTTCATATTTTGAGTCATTGAAGTAAACTTTATTGTAAGTATGTATACCAAATGAGATGTTGTGATAGCTCTGATTGCAGTATCCTTTTATACATTAATACAAAGAACACCAGTCTTGGTCCAAATCTGTATAAATTAGTTTTTTGAGTAATTTAGTACCTATTACGTATTTCTCCTCCACACCTCATAGTTTACAGGGTTGTTCGTGCTGGCAGCCTATTGCAGGGTAATATAAGGCACTCATCCTTGTCACCTCAAGAGCTGCCATTGTTTTTTACTCCGTTTATTTTTGCCATATTTTGTTTGGCAGTTATTTTGTCAAGTCTGATTCTCTATCATAACTTTTAAAGTTTGTGTGGCGGGAAAAATTCTCCGTAAGTAATAAGCACCCAGTGTTGAGATTTCCACACTTCCATGCTTCTCTGTTGTGCACTTTCTCTCTCTGTAGACAATAATGTGGGTCACTTCAACTAGGATTCATGCATGTTGTATTTTATTCCCAAAGGGAAATATTATTACTACCGAGAAAGAAGTATAATTGTAATATGATTTTTTCTGTGATATATACATTTTGTAAACTGTTAAAATTGCATGGAAATTTAATGTCTAAACTATGTGATATGATACCCTAGTACTTTGCATATGTTCATTTATTATCTATTCAAGATAAATTGCTGTTATTTACTTTTAAATTTGTTTAGTTATTCCTGTTGAGATCTAGTCATTCCAATCTTCCACTAATGTTTGCTTTCAGTCATAAATTTGAGGTGCTTTTAATTCCTGAATTTTCAACTGATTAATTTTTGAGCTAGTGGCACTAAATTGAGTGAGTTCATGTGTTCTGCATTGCATATTGCCTTTGAATGACTTGGTCTCAACCTTGCAACTGTGTAGCATACTGCTCTACACTTACTTGCAAAATCAAAAGCTTAGCATGTATCTCAAGTGTGCTAGTTAAGGTGAAACCAATTTTTAGCCAGCCTACATTTTAATTTTAATGTCTGTTTTTGTATCACAATTTGTTTACCACTAAGTACATGACACACATGTATACTGTACAACCAGTGAAATGGTTGCTATCTCGGGAAATAATGTTAGAGGATTTGTTATCTGAAAGTTAATAATCAGTGGTATCAACTTTCTTTCACTCATTTTAATTGAAGAAAAGTTGAATATCATATTAACATCTATTTTCATGTAAATGATTGTCCATTGGATAATGCAAATTAAAGTGTAATTTAAGATTCGAACTTTTAAGTTTGGAATTCATATGATTTAATTTTACTACCTGCATTGAAAATACATGGAGTTGAGTGTTAAAATTTACAGCAAGACATGTTACAAGAATATAAACAATGTGATGACACCAATGTGCACAGGGGCCAAGCATGAATACAGTCACACTATACAATATCATGAAGGGCATTCTAGACCTAAGGAATCCAGAGGAAGCCAGCGAGAACTTTCCAGAGCATCCCACATGTTATAATCTTGTTCACACAATTCTCGATTCAATTTCTCAACATCTACAGGCACGTTGTGTTCTAGAGTATAAAATAACAATAAATTAGGTTGTGGTACAATAACAAGGTTTATTAAAAAAAGAATAAAAATGAAAAAAATCAACAACTTACCAATAAGTTCTAACTCATCTTCAACAGGTGCCTGCGCTTCTTGCACCACACCTGCTTGAGAAGGGTCTTGCATTGATGGATCGGCATAAGCTGCCATTGCATTAGGATCAGTGGCAGTCTGATCATAGTACCCCTGCCATGCTGAATAATTCTGCCAATATGATGGATCATAGTACCCCTGACTATAATCTTGACTCACACCTGTGTAACCAGCATGCTGTGCTGTAGTTGCGGTGGGTGTCTGAGGGGTGGTAGTGGTAGTGGTACTAGCAGTGGTTCCTTGTGAAGGAGTGGCACTGGAAATTAAAATTATGGATAGATGAAAACATCACCAAAAACAAAATGAAAATAGATACTACTACCTATCTATAGTGGTATATGATCATAAATTCTTACTTGAATTTTGCAGTTTTAGCAACAGCATTGCTAATCTTGAGTGGCTTCCCACCCAAGCCTTTATATCCATTCATAGCAATCAGACAATTCTTTTGTTCTTCCTCAGAAGCAAACCGTACGAAGCCATAACCTCTGCTATATCCACTCGTATCCAAAATCACTGTGCAAATATAAATGAAATGGTTTCTGTGAATCAGAACAGTAACTTATTCTGTAATCCTTTGAAAAGTGCTACCAACCTTTTGCAGTTCTTATAGAAGGGTAGCGAGCAGCAAATGCCTTGTATAGTGTATAATCATCAACTTCTGGGGTAAGATCTCCGACCCACAATGAGTATTCCTTGTCTTGACTAGGCCTTGTTGCTCCACCGCCAGCATGATTGAGGCGGAATCTAACTGGCTATTGGGTACAGATTACTATGTTACTATTTTTGGTAAGAAGTAAGAATTGATGGAAATATTAACTTTGGAAACCACTTACTGGGTTTGTATTAGGAACCACTTTTCCATTTAATTTGTGCATGGCATTCAATGCCATTTCATCTGTTGGGAACTGGACGAAGCAATATCCAGCTGGATCACCTGTGAACTTATTTTTCTTGTGAATGACACCAGTTGCAGGCTCACCCATACGTCGGAAGGCCTCCATAATAAAGGTCTCATTCATGTAAGGCTCCAACTACAAAAGAGAAAAGTTATGATTAGAAAATAATCGTCGTAACTTCACTTTTGGGAGTGACACACAGGGCACACAGGACTTATGACACACAATATATTTAGATTGATTTCTTGAGGACAGACGCAATTAAGATGGCTTAAGATAACAAAAGTACAGAAAACAACCCAATAACATGATGGTTTAGTGATGAAACAGAACAAAACATCACGTAAAATGAAAATCTCATACGTCACATAGACGCGCATAGACGTCATGACGAGAAAAAATTTAGTCTGAAGAAGGAAGGTGTCCGTTTTCTGGCGTCATAACCTCACGCTACACTTTCATGATGATTAAGGAGCCCGCAGCGGTAAGCCTCAGGGCTAGGAATAGCATTGCCAGTACACAAGATACGGCTGTTTTTGTGGCACACTAACACAAACATTATTTCCGAACTAGTGCATCGCATAAACAAATCTACCCGTTGCTAAAAGCAAACTCTCAAAGGAAATTCTGCACTTACTCCTCCCATCCACAACTGGCAATGGACTGTTTGTGTTGGCGTCGTCATTGTTGCTGTTGACGACGTTTAGGACTTGAGCAAAACGATCTTCTTCTTGCGGTTTCACACAATTTTCAGAAAAAAAACCCTATAACGCCGGCTTCTAGTTGAGCACGCTGAGCACGCGTAACGACAACAATCAGCAGAAGCGAAGCGATGTAACGGGGAGGGAGGGGAAAGGGGGAAGTGTTCGGTAGTGCCAGTACAACGGGAAACTTTACTCACTGTATTCCTTTTAATAATGGTCATTAGGGATAGGAAGCCAATGCAAGTAAGATACACATTAAAAAGTAAAATCTTTTGTGTTTTGTCGCTTTTATGAAACTAATACTTTTCTTCTTTTTTACATACGCAAATTCGTTCATGTGTTGGTGTCATTTTCTTGTGATTATTGTTGTGAACTTTAGTGGTGGCGGTGGGCTGTATCGGTATATTTGACAGGTTATAGGAACTTACTTAGACTTTGTAAACAGTACATTTTTGATACATTTGTCAGCTTGAAGGCTATTTATGATGGAAATGTAAATTTTCCTCTTATTTAAACGGTGAGTTAAATGGCAAGGGCTGTTTTAAATGTACATCCATTATATTGTACTATATCCATGACATGTCTGAAGCCAATGAGTTTTGCCACTGTACTATTTTCGCATATCATTTAAGACGAAATATGTCTGGTTTTACTCAATGCTTATGACTAGCTTTACAAGATTGTGTCTGATTTCATGATCTGGTTCCTTTTTCATTATGCTCAGAGGGTGTCGTTCCTCCTCCGGCTGTAGGTGACACCTGTTCACCTGTCAAATTTTGTGGTGTGAACATTAACATGGAGCCATTCAATGAGGCGATACTTCAAAATATGGGTGGTAAAGGTAAAGACCGAATGAAGATGAGAAAACGGTTTACTTCCCTCTATTTTTCATCGGTAACAATTTAATGTCTATCTATTTTCCAGGATCTAGGAAAAGGAAACAAGCACTTCCTTTACATTGCCTTGAAACTTCACAACCCAGGTTCGTTTTCTTGATTTACTGTCTATAATTGGTTATAAGAAAAGTAGAACTTGGTTTCCTTTGTGTGTTTTCTTTCTCGTTGTACTACTGTGTAGTACAAGTAT